AAAGACATGAACTTTGGGGGCCAGGGGCAGAATGCTATGGATTAAATGTGTCCCCCAAATGTTCATGTATTGGAAACAATCTCCACTATAACAGTGTTAAGAGGATGGGAAATCCTATTATGGTAATTGAAAGGTTGGCCTTTTAAAAGGTGATTAGATTGTGAGGACTATGCCCTTGTAAATGGATTGATCCATTCATGGGGTAATGGGTGTGGTTCTGATGGCTTTAAAAGGAGAGCAAGTAAGGAGGTTAGATCTCCTTGCTCAGCTGGTTTGTCATGTGACACCCTGCATCACTGCAGAGTCACCACCAAGACCAAGGACCTCACCAGATGTGTTCCCTGGACTTTAGACTTCCCAGATTCTGAAACTGTAAGATATAAATTCCATGTCTTTTTTTTTTTGGTGGTTGGTGGGTATGGGGATTTGAACCCTTGACCCTGTGTTATAACACTTTGCTCTAACCAACTGAGCCAATTTGCCAGCCAATTCTTTTTCTTTATAAATTACTCAGTTTTGGGTATTATTCTGTTATAAGCAACAAAAACAGACTATTTCCACCAATAAAAAAGCAAACAAATGAATAAGAATTTCAGCTAGAAGTGCTATGTGAAAAATAAAACAGGAAATTTTATAACAAGTGACTAGGTAGGAAAGTGGGGTAGAGGGGGGCTCAGGGAGGGCATCTCTGAGGAGGTCACTTTTGAGGGGAGAACTGCATGGTAAGAAGGAGCCAGACATGCAAAGTGCCAGAGGGAGGGTGTCCCAGGCAGTGGTCAGCAGAGGCCCTGATGCGGTGAGAGTGACGGTGAGGGGAGAATGGTATGAAATGAGATGAGAAAACCACTCCTCTGCTGTTGTTTCCCTGTTATCCTCTCTCCACTCATAGCCAGGAAGAACTTTACACAATGTGAATCAGATGGTGTCATATTCCTATTTAGAATCTCCCACAGCTTGTTACATCTGAACTACTGCCCTGGCCAACAAAGCTCTCTGTGACCTACCTCTGCCCCTTTGAACCACTCTCTCCATGCCCACTAATCTAGCCACCCTGTCATGTTTGATGAGCTTGGTGCATGATGAGCCCATGCCAGGCTTCGGTCACCTGAAGCAGCTGTTCTCTGTGCTCAGATATCCTCCCTCTGATCTCTGCGTGGCTGGCTCCTTCTTGTCATCCAAGTCCAGTATCCCCCAATCTAAAGCCACTTTAGATCCAATCCTTGTATTTTTTTCTCCAAACACCCAGTCTAAAGTGGCCATCCAGTCTTTTTTCAACGGCCTTATTTTAATTCTCTACATAGCTCCAATCTCTATCTGACATTCCCTTGTTTATTTGTGGACAATCTTCTCCAACTAGAAGATAAGCTCCGTGAAAACAGAGTCCTTCTTGATCTTCTTTACTGAATCCCCAGGACTTAGAACAGTGCTTGGCACAGAGTAAGTGCTCAATAAGTATTTCCTGAATGAAAAAGTGAATCATGATTCTAGAATTTAATGCTTTTAGTCACAGCCAATTTGAATTCTGCCTGTTTACAATACTGATGACAAGGTCATCTCTACTAACTCTACTAAATGTATTTATAACAGAAAGAATAAAATGGAACACTTTACTTATTTCCTTTGACTTTCCAACCCTTAAAGACCAATGAACAGCAAGGAAGAAAAAGAGTCATAAAGCAATTTGGTATATCAAGGACTTTTTATTTTTTAACCAAAGAAGCATGTAAACTACACTTCAAGAAAGAATCATCCTTTCCTAGTCAGTAGCCAGCACAGTTAGCATCAGTGCAAAGTTGCATCGAGGTATGTGCAACAAACTCTGCAAACAACAGATAAAATAGACGAAAACCAGTTCTTTTCATCTTCCTTCCTGGATGCTCACGGAATGTTGTTCTATCCAAGACATACAAAAACTACTCTACAGGCATTACATAAAAAGTTGTTCTAAACTTGCTATCTTTGAACTCAAAAGCAAGTCTAACCTTAGACTCACTGTTTATAGTTAGCCACAAAAATAAAAATGTTTAAACTTAAAAAACTTGTTTTCCACACATCTGAAAAGACTTATTCATATCACTGATTTAATTCAGCTGTTTCCAACACAGTAAGAATTTGCTAAATATTTCTCAGTGCAGTCTGACAATTTCAAACTATATTACCTATTAGAAGCCCAGTTGCAAAAATAATCTAAATTGGCAAGAAGTTATAATCTTAAAAAGAAATTGTTACCAGAAAGAGTATTCAAAAAAAATTTTAGTTCACCTTAATAGTAGGTACACATTAATATCAAAATGATTTCTAAGCTGGTTAGAAAGAAAAAGTAAATAATTAGGGAGAGAACTAAAATGGTTCCTTCTAATAAACAAACTACAACCTGAAAGTTTATATAAAACTTTAGTTTGGTACCTAAAATGTTTCTTTTCATAGAAGCAAAGCATTGGTTTTAAGTGCTGCTTAGAGTCTCATAAAGGATAGTTTATGAGACTCACAGCAAAGGAAACAATCAACAGCGTGAAAAGACAGCCTACAGAATGGGAGAAAATATTTACAAACTACACACCCTACAAGGGATTAATATCCAGAATATACAAAGAGCTCAGACAACTTTATAGCAAAAAAAAAAAAGTCCAATTAAAAAATAGGCAAAGGAGCTGAATAGACATCTCTCAAAGGAAGACATACAAATAACCAACAGCTACATGAAAAAATGCTCAACATCACTAATCATCATCAGGCAAATGCAAATGATAACCACTCTGAGATATCACCTCACCCCAATCAGACTGGCTATTATAAAAAAGACAGAGAATAACAAATGGTGGTGAGGATGAGAAGAGAGAGGAACCGTCCTGCACTTTCAGTGGACTGTAAATTAGTACAGCCATTATGGAGAACAGTATGGAAGGTCCTTAAACAACTACAGATAGAACTTCATATGATCCAGCAATCCCACTACTGAGGATATATCCAGAGGATTGGAAAACATCAGGTCAAAGGCATACCTACGCTCCCATGTTTATTGCAGCTCTATTTACAATAGCCAGGCAATGGAACCAATCTCAATGTCCATCGATGGATGACTGGATAAGGAAATTGTGGCATATATACACAATGGAATACTACTCAGCCATAAAAAAGAATGAAAGTCTACCATTTGCAACAACATGGATGAACCTGGAGAAAATTATTCTAAGTGAAACAACCCAGGTACAAAAAGAGAAATACTGCATGTTCTCACTAATAACCGGGAACTGAATCTATAAATAAACAAATGAACAATAAAGAGAGAGAGAGAAAGAGAAAGAGAAAGAAACAACAATCACAGTACTATGTTGAACTTTTAGACAACTAGAGGTGGAAAAGGGGAGGGGAGAGGGAGAAGGAAGGGGGCTAATGAGGAATTGACTAATGGACACAAAGAATGATTGCATATTGTAATGATGAATAAGCTAACTATACTGATCTAACCACCATACACTGTACACAGTTATTGAAAATCAATGTTGTGCCCCACATGTATGTATAATAAATTATCTTTAAAAAAAAAGGATAGTTTAAATACATAATGAAGCTGAAGTACCTATATTACTTAATAACCCACCTGCTCACATATGGTTTCTGCACTAAAATTACTTTCTGGTTTACAGGGGCCACAGCAAATAGATAAGGAAGTCTCAATTCTTTAGTGGAAAAGGATGTAGAGAAAGAAATGGCATCTTTCATGCAAATTCAGGTGACAGGGAACAACCAAGGAGCCCACCTCAGTGGCAGCAGGGAAGGGAGCCCTGGCAGCAAGCTGGGGCTCCCTCCCTCAAGTGACGGTGTTCTCCACCTGTGCCCACTTTGGAGCATCCTCACATCTGTGGTGGGTCCTAGGAATTGTAGACTGAAACAGATTCAGTGTGAAATTTAACTGGGTGATGATGATTCAGATGGAAGAAAATTTTTTAAATCACTGAATAGTTAGATCATTAAAAGTCAAACCAGGGCCGGCCCGGTGGCGCACTGCTACAGTGCGCTGCTTGGGAGCGTGGTGGCGCTCCCGCCGAGGGTTCGGATCCCACATACAGACCGGTTCCCGCTCACTGGCTGAGCGAGGTGCGGGCGCAACACCGAGGGTTGCGATCCCGTTGCCGGTCCCGGTCCAGTACAGACGCGACACTGAGGGTTGCGATCCGTTGCCGGACACGAAAAAAGACAAAAAGGAAAAAAAAAAAAATTTTTAACTGCTCTAATGTCCTGATACATATACTAATACTAAAATATTAAATAGTCAGTCACTTTCAAACAGCACATTTAATAAAACAGCACATTGAAGACTTTTTTGCACTGTGGATTATAATTCAAGAAAATGTTTTTCAGTGGCATGTTTTCCAGAAGGAATTTTAAACCAAGGACTTGTACATTAGAAAATCTCAAGAATACCTTGACTTGAAATTCTTTAAATGATTGGCAAACTATAGGAATCATTTGACCTGAATTTTGCTTAAAATGTTAGCTTCTATAGACAGAAAATTTTGAGAAATTTCCTTTTAAATCATTCTTGTAATTGTATTATTCTGAACTTCTATGAAAAAGAATAAAAATGTTATATGTTCAAGTCTTTTTCTTGTACGTTTGTTGTTTCTGCACCGAACTGCACTGAGGGTAAGCCTGTGATGTGACATAGGAACTGTTCTAAAGAGAAAGGAGCTACGAAATTAGTTTTATAAAGAAAGTTAGAAAGAGTTAAATGAAAATTTTGTTTTAACCTGATAACTAATATAGTAGCATATATAGGCTTTGAAAAATAGTTAAGACTATTACCTAAAAACCCCATCAAATTTTAATTTGATTGATAGCCACAAAAATTAAAATGTTTAAACTTTAAAAAATTGTTTTCCATACATCCGAAGACTTATTCATATCACTGATTTAATTCAGCTGTTTCTACACAAAAAGAATCTGTTTTACTTCTCGTACATGTTTCATCCTCCCAAATCAAAAATCTCAGGTCTTACCTAGACCTTCCTGAGGAGTTTGCTCGATGTTTACCATTTCCTACGAAGTCAGGAGAACCTCCATGTAGAATGGCAGCTGTTCTGTGTCCTCCTGGGTCTTTCTTAGAGGGTTGATCTTGGTTTGACAAATTAGCAATTTCCAAACGTTCCTAGCAAAAATATAAAACCTACTTTAGATGTAAGTCATAAACACAAGACAATCATGGTAATGAATTATCAACTCAGTATAAATTCAAATTTTACTTAAGCTGAATACTTACGAGTGTAATAAAGTTGAAATCTACTTCTAAAAACTTAATGCTCAAATCTGTACTAGGTCAAGAACTGAAGTCCAGGTTACAGTTTCAAGAGAATGTGAATTTTATAAATGAATATGCTTAGACTCTTGGAATATGCATGAAAATTTAGGGAGAAGAGAAGAGGAGGTAAATAGAAGGGAGGATTCAGAGAGAGAGCAAGGAGTGGCTGATGGGAAGCCAGGTCAGCTGCAAAACAAGAGGGCTGGTGGAAACAGTGATGTCCTCTTCCATCTGTACATAGCTCTATAGTTTCAACAGAGCAGTACATTTGTCTGTGGGAATAATTACACGAAACAAAAAGGAAGGCATTATCAGTCTCATTTTAATGGACGAAGAAAATGAGTCACCAAGAGTGTCACCTGCCAAGGTTACAGAGCTTGGCAGCAAAAAAGCCAAAGCTTTAAGCCAGGTGCTGCTTACCTGTACATCAGTGCCTCTTCCTGCTACATCACACAGTGTCCCTTAAGTTAAATGCCATAATTCCATAAAAGAGAATGAGTAAAATTTTCTCTGGATTTCTCCAAACAGGTATAATTGGTTTTTTGATTGAGCTGGATGCAGGAAAAATGAAGGAAAAGGCACTATATCCTTTTTCACCACTGCCTTTTAACCTGATCTGTTGAATCATTCTTTTCCACCACTGAATGAAATCTCAGGCAGATCTATACAGTTTCCATTCACTCTTCGGTAAGAATGGTTTTATTTTCCAAGTATTAAGAATTGCAGGGCCGGCCCGGTGGCGCACTGCTACAGTGCGCCGCTTGGGAGCGCGGCAGCGCTCCTGTCGAGGGTTCGGATCCCACATACAGATCGGTTCCCGCTCACTGGCTGAGCGAGGTGCGGGTGCGACACTGAGGGTTGCGATCCGTTGCCGGACATGAAAAAAAAAAAAAAAAGGGAAAAAAAAAAAAAAGAATTCCAGTATGAGTTGATTAACAAAGCTTCAATCTCTTCTTTTCCTCAACTCATTTGATAAATTACTGTAACTACATAAGCCTAAGTCATCTACAGATAATATACAACTCTAAAT